GGTGGCTTTGACGGGTTGGTGGGTGCGATGAAGAGTGATTGCGACTAACGAATTTGATGATTTGTAACTAATAAATAAATTGTGACATATAAAATTGTGTGATTTGCAACTAAATATGTATTTCTAATCCACAATTTTTATCTTTATGATTGTGTATGATTTGTAACTAGTATATGACCGTGATTCTAAATTGTTTATTATTATGATTGTCACATATTTAATTAAATTATGGATCACAATTTCATTGGAGGTCACAAAATGTGACGTATGGTGGCTTTGGATCCTATAATTGATATAGACAGGCTAGCCCACTGACAACAATAAATAGGGCTTTAGTGTAGAAGGGTCAAACTCGTCATGTTGACACCCTTTAATTAGGCAAAATCGTAAAGAGACTTAACAATAAATGCCACTATAAACTTAGAGCATGTTTGACAAATTTTAAAATTTAATTAAAATTGAAAATATAATCGTTATTGAATCTCACTCATTTAATAAAAGTTAATATTAACAGCTAGTTCGTGTTTGTCTATCATTATTCCAAAAAATTGTTTGCTAAAGTAAGATTCTCCACCACACATTCACCCAATAAAATATTCTACACACAAACTAATAAAGTTACTTTAAATTTCAACCACACATTCTCCAAAAAATATTATTCATTACTCTATTTTTCTCCCATTAATAGGAGACAAACACACCCTTAATAGTAATGTCTTGAATATTTTTAGTCAATTTTACTATGTGCCTATTGAAAAGTATTCATCTCCATTGAACTGGTTTCTAGAGGAATTTATCGGGATGGTGAATCGAGAAGAGGAGGTTCCATACCCTCTTATCTAGCTTATGTCTACTCAAACATTTTAGAATGTGAATTTCATAGTTGCTATTGGGGATAGTCTTTCGATTATATTTATTTCATTTTTGAGGTCTATATAAAAATGGTTTCTAATTTATTTATTTATTTTGGTCAGACTATATTGAACACTATTATGTCTATATTTAGTGAACACTGCTACACTTACAGTGTTTAGAGGGCTGTAAAAATTACAGTCATCTAAACATTGTACAAGCGGTATTTTTGATATTTAATTTAGTTAAAAAAGTTGGTGAAAGTCCAAGTCAAAGTCAACAATTATTTTTAATCATACATTTCATGGAATTCACAATTATATCAATTTTTTTTAATTACATATTTCATCGACTTTTATCGAAATTTATCAAAAATCTTATTTTTTGCAAAATAAAATAGGGGTCAAGCCTAATAACATATAGACAAAACACCCTAATAATCTTGTTTGGTCTTGCACGTGGACAAAACTTTCAACTACCCTAATAATCTTGTTTGGTCTTGCAACGACAAAACTTTCAACCACCCATTCTTTGTAAACGTTCTTTACATTTACAGGAATTCAAATGTTGTCTCATATGGGAGTGGCCCCACATGATTAATATATTGACAAAAATCTTACCCCACTCACCTATGTTGTGAGTTGTCTGCTGCCTGTACATGTAGCATTGTTCTAATAGATATCAATATTAAGTTCACGACCAAACATGCTAATAAATTTGGCTTGTCCATGGACGAAGCTTTCAACATCGCATTGTTTTTGCACGTAACAGAGAATCATCGTTCCATCAGGCAGTGAGTGAACAGATCTCAGTGCCCATCCATGTTTCAATCAAGACGAACTGCTGAACTCAAAAGGAAATAATCACTGGAACTTCGTATCGTATATCGACAAAGATAAACGAGTACTGCTATATTACCTGGGCCAAAAAACTCAAACCAGTTTTGTCAAGAGAGAAAAGAAAAATGCACTTTCTAGAAGGAAGAAAAAGCAGACACCACATTCGTTGGAGCATATAAGCCAATTTGGCAGTGGATGTCAAACCAACAGCAAATGAAATTTACTCGAGTGTCATCAATGTCAATCATACTACAGGCACTGCTTTATTGGATGGGACTATCTTTCATGCATTCTATTGGAGAACAATTATTCAATAAAGAATGCTAAGAATTATTGTAATAGTCGTACACATTATGAACAATAAAATAAAGTAATGTTTAAAATATTTCATTTGATTTTGCAACCGCAACCGTGTCCTCTTTACTGTTCCTTGATTGAACGGTAAACAATTATTTATACTTGGATGCATGTTCTGCGGGAGATTATTTATACTTTGATGCATGATCTGCGGGAGATTCTTTCCACCAAATATAAGGTAAGTTGATGTTAGCTGTAAAATTTTATTTTGTTTTAAATTGTTGAATAGAGGTATCAAAATGGACAGATCTATTTAAACCACTTACAATTCATTGTGCTTTGAATGATAGAGGGAGATTCTTTCCATCAAACGTAGGGAAATTTTAACTCTGAATTTTATTTTGTTTTGAAATGTTGAATTGAGGAGTCAAAATGGAGGAATCATTTGAATCAACCGCCTGTCCATATTAAGACCCGCAAGAAATTATACAAGTCTGTAGACCTTCATTGATCCGAAAGTTTTTGAATGGTATACGATCCGATCCACCTCGAAACAAGAAAAAGAAGTGAAAGAATAAATTTAGGGTGTGTTTTGTCTCCTATTATTGGGAGAAAAATAAAGTAATGAATAGTATTTTTTGGAGAATGTGTGGCTGAAATTTAAAGTAACTTTATTGGTTTGTGCGTTGAATATTTTATTGAATGAATGTGTGGTAGAAAATTTTATTGTAGCAAATATTTTTTTAGAATAATGGTAAAACTTCTGTGCTATGAAAGTGACAGCACAAAATTAAGGTTGTCACTGTAGCTAAAGTGACAGCCTCAAACAAGGCTAGGGACAGGCACCTCAGCAATAATTCAAATTAAGGGAGATACATCTACCTCAACCCCTGTTTAAATCCCTTGTCCCCAGCACTATTTGAATAGCAGAGCTAAAAAACAAAAAAGTTTTAGTAATTTTTTTTTTTTTTTTGTTAAATATATTAACGAGCCCAACAATTAACCATCAATCGCAATAATAGTAATCGGTCTAGACCGAATTTTTACATTTATGGGCTTGTAAACCAGCTCGCTGTAATTATGTGCTGATTTACGAGCTTTTATAGGACTAGTTCCGAGCGACCATATCAGGCCCGTTGGATTTCACATCACATTGTCGAAGTTAATTTCTTTTTCTATTTAGACTAGCTAAAATTAGTATCTTTTATGTCAAAGTCCCTTATGAAAATTAACAGATTTTACTATGAGTAAACATTTTAATCGAAACCGAGCTTTTTGAATTGAAATCAAACACCACAAATGGATCCAATTCGAGTTTCAAAAAACAATTTAGGAACTGGAATCGAAAATCGATTGGAACGGGGTCGATTCTTAGTTCTTAAATCGGAACCATAGGTACCTGACTCTAAAATCAAATTTATCATTTTTTTATAATTTCTTATTTTAAACCAAAGATCCCCATCCCAACAAGTACGAGTTCAAAAAAAAACCAACTAGTGCTTGATTCTAGTATTAGGTACATAATCAATCATATTCATTCACTCGAATAATTAAATAATATTACTTTCGTTCATAATCATTCAGACCCCGCTTTACACGTTCGTCTCACAAACCTTTTACACAACCGAAATTGAATGTCATTATGATATGTATTAGATATTATTTGGTGACACTTGCACTGGATTAAGAAATTGTTGAAATATGTATTTGACGATATGTTTTATTTCTTCTATATAATTAAAAAATAATTTGTAATTTTGTATGGCAACTTACAATTTTTAGAAAATGTTATGGCTAGAGCTGAATCGGAATCGAAGGATTCAGTTTGAGTTAGGTCCCAATAATTAAGTGGATTCGAATTATTCCATTTATGAAATTCCTAAAATATACTAAATGAAGTATTGAAATATCGGGACCAATCCATCGATGTCCAAGCTTAATTTTACCCATGTGATATAACTATTTAAGAAGGTAGGTGAAAATAGGACTAATTAGGAACATTTACATTTCCCAATTAAATCGACGGCTCTTTTAAGGCGAGTGACTAGTACGGGTTAATTATTTGAATGATCACTGAACTATATCAAATACTACTACTTAATAACTGAATTTAAAAATGTATCATAATGGTCATTGAACTATGCACCGTGTTACACATTCATCATTTTAGTGGAAAAATTTGTTATGTTCAACAAATGGCATCGACTTGAGCGATTGATGAGTAATATGTGCATAGGTTAGTGACTATTGAGAGACAATTTTAAATTCAATTATTAAGTATTAGTACTTGGTATAATTCAATCACCATTCAAATAATTAGATGCGTATGATTCTAAGCACTATCTTTTGCAGAAACCTTTAATACTAAAATTTTAAAAAATCTAATATGTTGCAGAGAATCACTACTTCCAAAAAAATCAATATTTCTTTGAAAAATCCTTTTTTTTTTTTTTTTGGTAGAAAAATGAAATACTCACTAAGCAAAATTCAATCTTTTGCCCAAATCTCGACTCCCACCACCAAAAATGCATTCTATAGTAGAAATATCAGATAACCAGTTTGGAAATATTGATATTTTGTAGAAATATGTCCAATTCTAAAAGGCTATATTTTTCTTCGATTTATGAACCTTTGATTTTCAGTTTCCTTTTTTTTTCCTTACCTTTTTTTTTTTAATTCACAGAGGTCAATTTGAGGGAAGAAGAAATTATTACTACTTAATAATTGAACTTAATATTATTTCTCAATGGTCACTAAACTATGCACCGCGTTATTCATCAATCGCTTAAGTCGATGCCCTTTGTTGAATTTAACAGGTTTTTCTACTTGAGTAATGGATGAGTAATACGGTGTATATTTTAGTGACCAATGAGATGCATTTTTAAGTTTACTTATTAAGTAGTAAAATTTGATATAGTTCACTGACCATTCAAATAATTAACTCGACTAGTACCGACTCTTTTTACTCTATAAAATGGACATGAAATCTATGAATCTCAAGCAAGAGAGAAAATGGCTCCAATTTTAGCACCACACTTCATAATTTTCCCTTTCATGTCCCAAGGGCACACGATCCCTCTCCTCTATCTTGGCCGCCTCCTCCGGCGGCGTTCTATCGCTGTAACAATAATCACCACCGCCGGAAACTCTCCGTGCATCCGGGATTCTCTCCGTGATGCCGATATTAAAATTGTTGAACTCCCATTTCCACAAGAAATCAATGGTGTCCCTCCAGGTGTTGAAAGCACTGATAAATTTCCATCCATGGCTTGTTTTATCCCTTTTGCCAATTCTACAAAACTAATGCAGCAGGATTTTGAAGACACCATTCAAAATCTTGATCAATCTGTTACCTGCATAATCTCTGATATATGTCTTGGCTGGACACAAAAATCTGCTGCAAAATTTGGGATTCCCCGGCTAGCCTTTTCCGGCATGGGAATTTTTTCCACCACCATGTATCAGATCTTATGCAAAAACAGGCCACATGCAGGAACGGTTTCTCTCGACACTCCCTTTTTGATTCCTGATTTTCCCAAGTTGAAATTGACAAGAAATGACTTTGATCCACCTTACTGTGAGATTGAGCCCACTGGAGAATACGTGGATTTCATGGTAGAGCAAATTATTGCCATGGAGAAAAGCAATGGCTTCATTGTCAACAGTTTTTATGAGCTGGAATCAATCTATGTTGATTACTGGAATCAGAAATTTGGGCCAAAAGCTTGGTGTGTTGGGCCATTCTGTGTAGCTAAGCCGCAGTGTACCACCGCCGCGGAAAAGCCACTGCACATGCAATGGTTGGACGGAAAGTTTGCAGAAGGTGAGCCAGTTTTATACGTGTCATTCGGGACACAAGCAAAATTGTCGTTGGAGCAATTGAATGAAATTGCGATGGGTTTAGAGAATTCTCATGTGAGTTGTCTATGGGTTTTGAGGTCAGAAGGGGTGAACTATTTACAGGGTTTTGAAAAGAAGGAGAAAAACAGAGTGATGATAGTGAAAGAATGGGTTGATCAAATGGAAATACTAAATCACAATGCAATCAAAGGGTTTTTGAGTCACTGCGGATGGAATTCAGTGATGGAAAGTTTATCAGCTAATGTGCCTATCTTAGCATTTCCAATGATGGCGGAGCAACACCTGAATGCAAGACTTTTGGTGGAGGAAATCGGCGTAGGGCTGAGAATTTCGCCCTCGAATGGGTCTGTCCGGGGGTTTGTGGAGGCTAAGGAGGTGGAGAAGATGGTGAAAGAGTTAATGGCTGGGGGAAAGGGTAAGGAGTTGCGGCAGAAGGTGGAGGACATTAGAGATGCTGCATGCGCCGCCACCGTAGACGGGGGTTCTTCTTGGCACTCGCTAAATTTCCTTATCGATGACGTTTGTGGGAAAAGATATTCACACATCTACTCTTATTTAACCAAAAATGAAGAATTATTGGCTCGTCCCCAGGTTCAAGATTCACTTGCGATTAATAGCAAGTAAATGGAATTAAAAATAAATATAAAAATAAAAATAAAATAAGGGTACATAGTCGTGTTTAATACGTGGTATTGAACATGACGGGATAGGATTATAAATAATATTTTATTGTTGTTGAGTATTATAAGTTATAATTGATGAATTATGTCATTGACGCTTTTATTATTGACCAAAACTATAAATTATAATTGTTGAAAATGACGACTTCATAATTTGTGGGCCGTTAATGACGAAATTTTCTTTAACTTTAGTAATTTATCATAACATTGAACACCAATGGATGTATATATAGGAAAATAATTGAACATAGGGGGTTGTATAACATCCCAAAAGTTTCTATAATTTCGTTTGGGACTTAATTGGAGAGTTAAATACCAAAATGAAAAGTTTCCAATTATCCAAAGACTTAAATGCAAAAAAAAAAAGTATTATTTTTTGATAAGAAATCCAATAATTATATATTGATAATTGATTAAAGATGGTGAAGTTCAAAATATTTTAATACATATCTGCTTTGTGTAGGCCACAGTTCATTATGAATTGAGAAGACAACTATGGCATTTCGACCCAATTGCAGGTGTGTGTGTGTGTCAGTGGTGAGTTTAATGCGATTATTCAGCATCATGTAAAGACAGTAAGCCATAATTTGTTTATCCCAGTTGAGGAGTTTGAGGCTATTGTTGATGAATGCTATCTGAGGGAGTGGAACGAACACGTCAATTTCAGATATTGGAGGACTAACACGACGAAGCCAGGTAATTAGAGGACCAAAATGATGTTCTGTGATAGTTAAAGCACTAAATTGATGTTGCCTGATATAATGAGCACCAAATTGAGATCTCAAGAAAGTTGGAGGACTACATTGACATTTTAGTGAAATAGAAGGACTAATTTTATGTAGAAAAGTAGTTAAAGAAGTAAATAGACATTCCTATATAGTTGGCAGTCTAAATTGATGATTCAAGATAGTTTGACATCTAAATTGATACTGTCCAATAGTTTGCCTGATAGTTAGAGGACTAAATTATCTTTGCCCGATAATTGCAGGACTAAATTGGACTTGGTAGATACTTAGAGGACTAAATTTTCTATGCTTGATAGTTGAGGGACAAATTTGACTTTGCACATACACATGGAGGACTAAGTTGTCTTTGCTTGATAGTCGTATGACTAAATTGGCCTTGCTATGTACTTGAAGGAACAAATAGGCCTTTGCTTGATAGTTACGAGGGTAAATTGTCTTGCATGATAGTCGAATGACTAACTTGGTCTTGCTAGATACTTGGAGGATTAAATTGGCTCTGGATGATAGTTGCGGGAGTAAAGGAGGGATACATTATCCTAGCTTGATAGTTGAGGGACTAACTTATAATTGCCAGCTACCTGAAGGAATAACCTTTCTTTATAGCTGTAGGACAAATTTGGAGTTAAAAGATATTTGGAGGACTAAAATGTCCTTATATTATTGTCATGGGGCTAAAAATTGACCTTGAATTATAGATGAGGGTCTAAATTGACCATGCGAGGACTAAATTGGCCTTGCCTAATAGTTGTAGGACTAAATTGATAGTACTAGATAACGTGGGGACTAAATTGGCGATGGTTGATAGTTAGGGGTCTAATTTGGCATTACTAGATACATGAAATAATAAGTTGGCCTCTAGATATTGGGATGACTAAATTATTCTTGCTTGATAGTCGAGGTACTAATTTGGCCTTCCATAAAAATAGAGGACTACTTTATCATTGCTTGATAGCCAATGGACTAATTTGGTGTTTACAAATACTAGGAGGACTAAATTTACCTTGCTTAATAGTCGTGGGACTAAATATGTCATGTAAGATACCAACTTATGAATATTAGATTATTAGAGGATTCTATTGACGTCACCATATAGTTGAAGGATAAAATTGACGTTTACAGATAGTTTCAAGACTCAATTTATACCTACTTATAGTTGGAGTAAATTGATGTTTCTTCAACGTAAGAGGACTATATGTTCGTTTTTAGATAGTCAGAGGACTATCTTGATGTTTTCTTAAAGTTGATTGTTAGCATGATTTTTCCGGTCAGAGTGAGGAAGGGCGGAGCCCAATGAGGACCAGGGTGGGCCTGTGCCCACCCTGAACTTCTGGGCTCAACCCTTTGCTCATAATTTTTTTTTTTTAAAGTAATGGGCTATCTTTTAGTCCAAGAGAAGTGAAGTCCAATCCAAAAAATATTGGGGAAATTGCACAAAATACACTAAAAAGTAAGGACTTTTTGATAAATCATTATAAAAAAAAATTATTATAAACCGTATTATTTATGATTTTAAGGCAATGCACAGATCATAAAATATCCAACCAACTGGTGACCTTTTCTTTTTTAAAATCTTACATTAAATCCAAAATTAAATCAATTCAAGTATGTTATTTTTGACAAAATTTGAAAGTTGCTCATTTTTTTTTTTATGATTTTTATGAAAGTTTTCAAATGCAATTTCTCAATTTCAATAATGAGTTCATCTGCTATTTTTAATTTCATTCTCCTATATAATCAAAAGTTCATTTTTTCCAGATAAAGTATCAATATAATCCATTTTGCTAAAAGATGTTGCAATTTTAATTATGAATTTGAAGTTTTTGAGGTATTTGTTTGTTTTTAGATGCATTTTTCCGTCAAATGTGAGACAAAAATAAAAGAGATTTTTTTTCCCGCTTTCGTCATTCTTTTCTCATCCAAACTTTCGAAACATGAAAATTCAACTATAAATTAATAGTAACGAGTTAGTATATATGAAAATTGAATTTTTGATACTGTAATTGAAAATAACATTGTGAATTGATTCCAATATTGTTGTGTGAATTGCGCTATGAATTACTTTGATTTTGCTTTCAATATTTGTGATTTTATCATTCTGAATTGTTCAGGGGATGAAATTAGATCATTAGAACTTGGTGAACTTAATTGAGAGTATTTGATTTGATTTTACTTGATACTTGGTTTGGGATTAACTTGTTGTTTTATATTTTTATCATCATTAAATTCATGACCAAAAACTCAAAGTTTGGGGTCGACAAAATTGTGCCCACACTGAACCAATTTCTTGGCTCCGCCTCTGATGAGGACGAATATGAGCTTCTTGATAGATTGAGGACTAACTATTGAGAATTGCCATCAAAATATTTAGAATTGACATATTCATTCCTCTCCTCAATATACCACCATCTCATTTAATAAAAAAATCTGAAATAAATAAAAATTCTGATGATCAAATATGAACTGGGTTATGTAAATACAGAAAGTTGAGTTTGACTATATGAATACAATATTTGATCCAAAGAGTTCATTATTTCTTGCAGTTGCAACTTAAGATTACATTTAATATACAATATTGAATTGTGTACCAGACAAAAAAATTTAAACACCCCCCCCCCGGCGCGCTTTGCAATAGATTCCATAGTTCGTCTACTCTTATGATTTTCATTTTTCGAATTTTAATATTATTCTTTTATATTCACAAAATACTTCAATATTTTTTGGTTCCGGCTGAGCCATCCATTTGTGAAAATTATTTTGGGAATATTTAACTATGTTTAAAAGTTACTTCTACTAAAATAATTTAATATTTTTTCTCCATAACTAATTTTTATCAGTAAAGATAAAACTTTAAAAAATTTAAATCATATTCGACAAAATAAATAAATTAAAAGCTACTAACTTTGAAGCCAAACCCCATGACATCAACATAATTTTATCATGGTTTAGTCTTCTCAAATTAATATCATGAACTATTACATGGATGCTTTTAAATGTGCACACATGCATACTACTGTAGAACAAAATATGCTGACTTATGCTTCCCATGTTTATCCAAAAGATGTTGTCGATCTAGCAGACATGGCAAGATCGGGTACATTAATGGTGATATTCGAGAACCAGAAATAAGAGCAAAATACCAGACATGGCAAATGGAGAACTTTATGGTAATGGCATGGTTATTGGTTAATAAACTCCATGAATGAAGATATGTGGGAAGCTGTATGCGACACTATTCAGATCTGGAAAACGAAGCCCAAATATTTGAATTAAGGTATTGAAGGAGATTAAGCTAGGAGATCAGACTGTAACACAATATTACAACTCATTGAACAAGATTTGGCAGAAGTTAGATTTATTCTTTGAGATTGATTGGAAATGTGGTGAGGACAGCAAGAAATTTCGGAGGAATATTGAGAAAGAAAGGACTTATAATTTTCTAGCCGGTCTCATCAAAGAGTTAGATGAGGTTCGATGGAGAATTGTTAGCACCTGTTAGGAATTAACAGGGTTCAATGGCTCAAAACCATCATACATTAACATTTGCAGAATATACAGAAATCATAGGATCTGAAATTGAAACATAAAAGAGACAGAATGCTACTTCCCTTCAGGTTCTTCTTCCCCTTTCAATGGCCGAAATGTTAGGCTCATGAACAGTCTCCATGCAAATCACCTTCTAGAGAGAGCTAGAGAACCGGGGCAGAAGCTCTCCTCACTTGGCTTGGATCATCAATCCAATGATCTACCAAAACAGCCAAGATTTATGCCCTAAATCAGACCTAAGCCCCCCGAGAAACACAACACCACTTAGCCATTATTTCAGGCATAAGTTTACACGAGTTTCTTCAATCAATAGGCTAGAAGGGTCAATTTCAGGGGGCCACATGAAGAAGAAGAAGAAATAACGACTCCAACAGAGAGAAAAAAATGAGAAGTCACGAAGAGAGCAGGGAGTAGGTCTCAAAAGCCAAAGCCCAAGAGAAATATCTATTCAAGAATAAGTCTCAACCGTGGATTATATCCAAGGGCCACAAACAATTCCAAAGTAGCACACAATCCAGGTCACTACTAATGCTACCAATAAGTGAGTGTCACTTAAACAACAATAGTAAAGAATAAGTAACACTAGAAATGTCACAAATAGCACTAGCCCAATAAGTGTTAGGAGAACCATTTAAGTCCACATTCTTCACCTTGGTTCACGTAACATGCTTTCTCGGTTGCGAATTTGTACATGGAAGAACTGTTTATCATTATCGCCTACTACCTGCAAGAAAAATTAACACGTATCAATATGCAGCAAAGATAAGCATAATTTTAATTTTTCTACATGCAGAATTTTTGTCCCCACATCAGAGGAATTCCGATCGGTAGGAATCTTAACAAGTTCGACTTCACCTTGAGGAAGCTACTCACGTATAAAATGACACTTCACCTCAATATGTTTAGATCTCTCATGATAAACCGGGTTTTTACTAAGTGACAACNATACATTAACATTTGCAGAATATACAGAAATCATAGGATCTGAAATTGAAACATAAAAGAGACAGAATGCTACTTCCCTTCAGGTTCTTCTTCCCCTTTCAATGGCCGAAATGTTAGGCTCATGAACAGTCTCCATGCAAATCACCTTCTAGAGAGAGCTAGAGAACCGGGGCAGAAGCTCTCCTCACTTGGCTTGGATCATCAATCCAATGATCTACCAAAACAGCCAAGATTTATGCCCTAAATCAGACCTAAGCCCCCCGAGAAACACAACACCACTTAGCCATTATTTCAGGCATAAGTTTACACGAGTTTCTTCAATCAATAGGCTAGAAGGGTCAATTTCAGGGGGCCACATGAAGAAGAAGAAGAAATAACGACTCCAACAGAGAGAAAAAAATGAGAAGTCACGAAGAGAGCAGGGAGTAGGTCTCAAAAGCCAAAGCCCAAGAGAAATATCTATTCAAGAATAAGTCTCAACCGTGGATTATATCCAAGGGCCACAAACAATTCCAAAGTAGCACACAATCCAGGTCACTACTAATGCTACCAATAAGTGAGTGTCACTTAAACAACAATAGTAAAGAATAAGTAACACTAGAAATGTCACAAATAGCACTAGCCCAATAAGTGTTAGGAGAACCATTTAAGTCCACATTCTTCACCTTGGTTCACGTAACATGCTTTCTCGGTTGCGAATTTGTACATGGAAGAACTGTTTATCATTATCGCCTACTACCTGCAAGAAAAATTAACACGTATCAATATGCAGCAAAGATAAGCATAATTTTAATTTTTCTACATGCAGAATTTTTGTCCCCACATCAGAGGAATTCCGATCGGTAGGAATCTTAACAAGTTCGACTTCACCTTGAGACAGCTTTTCTCAAATAAAATGATACTTCACCTCAATGTGTTTTGATTTTCCATAATAAACATGATTTTTACTAAGTGACAATGCACTTTAACTATCAGTAAACATAATAGGTGTATCATTCATGAAGTTCAATTATTTTAAGATTCCTTTTAACCAAATACATTCCTTAACCGCTTTGGTTATGGCAACATATTCTGCTTCAGTACTGGACAAAGTTACTAGAGGTTGTAACTGTGATTTCCATGTTATGCAGTTATCACCTAGGGTAAAGAAGTATGCTGTGGTTGATTTCCTATTGTCTTTATCACCAGCGAAGTCAGCATCAACATAACTTTTAAGGGTTAACTTTTCAGATCTTCTCTCATACACTAAGCCTAGATTTAAGGTCCCAACCAAATACTTCAACAACCATTTCATTCCAGCCCAGTGTGGCTTGCCAGGATTGGACATAAATCTACTTAAGAGATTGATGGAAAATGCAAGATCAGGTCTGGTAGTAATCATAGAAAACATGACAGAACCTATGACATTTGCATAAGGTACATTTTCCATCTCTTTCAATTCAGACTCAGATTTAGGCGAATGAACATGTAAAAGATTCATATGACTAGCAAGAGGCACATTCACAATTTTACTGTCTTTCATTCCAAATCTTGTTACCACTTTATTCAAATACGCTTCTTGTGAAATAGTTAACATGTTCTCAGCCATATTTCTAGTTATAAGCATCCTAAGAATCTTTCTAGCATTCCCTAAATCCTTCATGTTAAATTCAGATTTTAAAAGATCATTCAATTTATTAATTTGAGACTTGCTAGGTCCAGCTAACAGCATATTATCAACATAAAGCAGCAAGTAGACTTCACAACCGCTCTTTATGTCATTAAAATACAAGCAAGCATCAAATCCACTTCTTTTAAACCCTATCTTTAGCACATAGGCATCAAATTTCTTGTACCATTGCCTTGGGTTTTGTTTCAACCCATACAATGATTTCTCTAACTTACAAGCATAATCAGATTTACCTCTAGCCACAAAGCCTTGTGGTTGACTCATGAAGATGTCATCTTCCAACTCCCCATGTAAAAAAGCAGTTTTTACATCGAGTTGTTCAAGTTTCCAATTGAATTGAATAACAAGAGTCAACATCAATCTGATTCTCTTCTACTTAATTACGGGTGAAAATATTTCATTATAGTCTACACCCTCTCTTTGAGTATAACCTTTAGCCACTAACCTCGCCTTAAACCTCACATGATTATTAGAGCTCAAACCATCTTTTAACTTGTAGACCCATTTACATGGAACCAATTTATGTTCTTTATGTTTCTTAACAAGTTTTCAGATTTTGTTATCACTCAAAGATTTCATTTCTTCCTGCATGGCTTTTATCTAATTTTCAGAATATTTTCCATTAATAGCTTCTTCATAAGTGGCAGACTCTATTTGTTCAAGGGCTTCACCTGAAACTAAGGCAAACTCAGTCAAGCTTAAAGATTCATATCTAGGATTAGGCATGATCTGCCTTCTAGTCCTATCCCTAGTAAGCTGATAATTTTGATTAGGTGGGTGATCATTAAAATGTTCAACTTCAACTGGTTCAATGTTATCTTGAAGTTCAGTCACCTCTTCAGATTCAGTTTCAGGTTCATGATGTGTAGGGTCATTATCGTCATTCTCAGGTGTAGGCGAATCAAGCTTAGTCAGCTTCACCTCAGTCTTAACACTCCTCTCAGTTTCAGATTTGTTAGCTTAATCAGTTTTCTATTTTAGACATGACATTTCAGATTCATTAAAGACTACATTCTTTCTGTTAATAATTTTAATGCCCTGAACCTCTAAAACCCATAACCTATAGCCCTTCACACCATCGGGATACCCTAAAATCACACACTTGACAGCCCTAAGCTCAAGTTTCCCTTCAGATTGATGTGCATATGCAGCACAACCAAACACCCTCATGTGACTTATATTTGGAGGCTCTCCCATCCACTGCTCATGTGGAGTTTTAAACCCTATACTGCTGGACGGTGACCTATTAATCAGATAAGCCGCAGAACTTGCAGTTTCAGCCCAAAAACATTTGGCAAGGCCAGATCTAATCAACATACATCTAACCTTGTTCATTATGGTCATGTTCATTCTCTCAGCGACCCCATTCTGTTCAGGTGTGTATTTAACTGTTCTGTGTCTTATTATCCCTTTCTGTTTACATAAGTTGTTAAATTCGAAATTACAGAATTCAAGCCCGTTATCAGTTCTTAATATTTTAAGTTTCTTGTCTAACTAATTTTCAACAGATTTAAGCCAAATTTAGAATTTTCCAAAAGTTTCCGACTTAGCCTTCAAATGATAAATCCAAACTTTTCTTGAGTAATCATCCATTAAGGAGAAGAAGTACTTACTTCCACCAAATGTGGAATGCTTCTCAGGACCCCATAGATTAACATGGACATAATCCAATGGACTACTGGTCCTATGAGAGATAGCTTCAAAACTCACCTTATGAGACTTACCCAAAACACAAGTTTCACAGAAGTCCATAGCTTCAATGTCATCTTTTCCAAGTAATTTCTGATTACTTAAAGATTTTAGCCATTTAAACCCAATGAGACCTATTTTGTTATGTCAAAGTTCAATTTTGTCTTTACTAACTGCAAGAAGACTCGAATAAGGTGTTGTTTTAGTTTTGCCCTCAAAATAGTACATCCGATTCCTCTTGGGTCATTTTATAACTATCAGAGATCCCTTAAAAATTTTC